TATTCACCTAGGGAAATTTCGATTGAATTATAATTAGGTGACTAATTAAAAAGGGGATTATCAACTATATTAAAATATGCAGAAAGACATGTGCATCATTTATTCTTTAATTTTGGCAATCCAACTTTTCTTTAGAAATTCTCACTGGGAAATTCCATGTTTAATATGAAAGCTTTCTTCTTTCTTCTTAGATCAATTTTATTGAACTGGGTGGAAGATCGCTGTTTATTGAGGTGATGGGTGTAATTTGAGCTTCTTTTGTTAATATGAGACTAAGCATTACGGTTATTCTATACAGTAAGAACAGAATGCTGTAACTAAAACCTAGAAGTAATGCCAGGTCCTTGGAAGAATTGCTTTTGATTCAGAGAAATAATGATTAAAATAATAACTACTACTATTTTTTTCATTGCTAATACACATCACATGATATGTGTTTCATTTAAGTCTCCCAACAACAAACCTATGCACTAATTTAGGCCCAGTAAACAGATGAAACAGATGAGAAACTGAGCTCAGAGAAGATGAGCAAATTATTCAAGGTCAAAGAGTTTTGAAGGGTATGTATCTGATCTCAAAACTCTTGTGTAAAGCAAGAATCTTTTGTCTAGTTAAGAGTCTTTTGTTGCAGTCAGCTTGTTTTGATATTGGTAATATTCACATATCATAAAATCAGCTAATCAGGATCTTATATTAACCCTCAAACCATATTTCCTACCTGAGTTGTCCAAACATTAGTTAATAAAACAAAAGCATGATCGTCAGGAGACTCCAGATTTATTATTAACAGCAAAAGTTAAAAAGTGACCATCACCTGGCATAGAAGTTACTGTTTTATTTGTCTTTTCCTATTTTGACTAATTTCTGAGAAGATAGACATGAAGTGAACTTTGTACCATTCTAGCTTTGGGCTTGATGGTTTAGTTATGTTTTAAGTGGGTCAGTCTATTCCTAAAAGCACCTAAAATTGACCACTTCATATAGATACTTTAGCAGCTAGGCAAGACTTAGGAAGACTGAGAAGGCTTGGTGACCTGCTCATGGTGATTAGTACTAACACCATGTGGGTGACATGGAGTTCCTGCTCTAACACATCCTTATTATATATTATTATTATTATTATTGAAGACTCACTGGAAACAGGGACTGTGCTTATAACACAGCTTTATTACAGTGTCTCTCCATCTTCATATGCTAATTTTTATTTATTTTTCTTTTTTCTTTTTTTGGGGTCCGGTCATGGGGCCTGAACTCTGGGCCTGGGCACTGTCCCTCAGCTCTTCAGCTCAAGCTCTACCACTTGAGCCACAGCGCCACTTCTGGCTTTTTTCTATTTGCTTATGTGGTGCTGAGGAATCAAACCCAGGGCCTCAGGCATGCAGGGCAAGCGCTCTACCACTGAGCCACCTTCCAAGCCCCATATGCTAATTTTTAAATGCTACAGTATAGTTTATAGATTTAACAACTTTGCTGATGACTCTTTGGTGTGGGAGAAGGGCTATCCTGTACATCTCTGGATGGAAGGGGGCTGTTGAGGCTCAGCAACATCTCTGGTCACTAATTGTGACAGACTAGGAGCACATCCATTTCTTCTAATTGTGACAGGTAAAACTATTTTTAAGTTACCAAATATCTAAGGTAGGAGGCAAAATCACCCGCTTCCCTCCCATTGTCTGTTTTCCTTTCTCAACAACTTTAGGAGGTTGATATTGTTTAACTATTATAACTGAAACTGTTTCAAAATGGAAAAGTGAGCTGGGTAAGCATTGTTGGTTATATGCAGATAGCATGACTTCTGAAGAGTTACTCTGGGCCGGAAATACAAATGGACCTTTCACTTGCCCCTTTTCCCTGTGTCTCTCCACCCCTCACTCATGTGTCTCCTGACAAATGGAGCAGTGGGAAGGAAGAGGTGTACGTGGTGTATTGCACAGAAACTTTTTATTGTACCATGGTCTTTTGTTTAATAGATTAATTCCATTTTAATTGGAATTCTGGAAACTAATGGAAAAAAATTACAAGTGTTAGATGGTCTATTCTTAGGGTTCTTGAATTCGTCTGATTTAATTCTAACCAATTAGCATGCCATTATGGAAGAATATTATGCTGAGAATCAATATGAAGCTAAACACTAATATTTTATTCAGTATTAAAAATTTATACAAATGGTAACACAAGTACTTTATCCTACTTTCTCTAAATGAGAAGAGATGCTTCCTTAAGGCAATTCTAGCAACAAAGAAAATGATTATCTTCTTAGGAGACTATTGGAATTACACTTTACATAGATCATTGCTTAAATGAATCAATAAGATTTAATTGAATGGAATTTGTCTAGTTTCTTTTAAGGTGTCAAAGTTTTTCAGGGTATCAAAACATTTTTTTTCCTCTCATACCCATAGTATAATCCTAAAATGATACAATTAGTTTATTGTCTAATATTGCTAAAAAGAACAGTAATTGTAATGTTCTTTGTGATTTTAGGATATTATTCATTTCTTTTTTCCTTCCTTCCCTCTTTCCCTTCCTTCCTTCTTTTTCTTTTTTCTTACTATGTAGTCCTGTCTGACCTCAAATTTCCAATCCTCTTGCTTCAGTCTCCCAACTGTTAGGATTCTAGGCATTTTGCCACCACACCTAGCTTGCCTTATTCCCTTTTCCACATGGGTCCTAAGCTCGTTTTTGTTTTCTGTTTTTGATTGAGATAAAATCTTAGGCTAGATACAGTTTAATTAGTCACAATTTCAAATCTGCTTCCACACCATGACTCAGTACACCTTTACCAGAGCCTTTGATTTTCTGTTCCAGGGCAAGTGCACAGACCCAGTGCACCTGCCTGGCTCCTCTCCTGTTACTTGTTCCTTTGTTTCTTCTATTTTCCGACTTTCAGTATTTCGAAGTTGGGTTGACTGAAAGATCTCTAAAAAAGACATTTATAATTTCTGTCACTTGCACATTTTAATTCTCAAATATTTGAAAAGTCTTTGGAAACTGTACCTTTTAAATCATCTCTAACTGTAAATTATTGGACTCTGATCTCGCAATTGGGTAGTCAAGATCAATATGCTAAAATGTACATCTCTTGAAAAGATTGCTTGTAATTCTAAGAGCATATTAGAAGTTAAATCTGATGTGCAGAATAAAGGCGAAAAGAAATCACTGAATAAATTAAGCCAACTGAAACATTCAAAATTTGAGGCTTGTTCAGTAATCACCACTACAAATAGAAAATGTAAGCTAAAATGATTTAATAGGTTGACTTTTCTAATACTCTGGTGGGATTTCATTTATAAGTGTTTAATGTATATATCTTCTCTGAAAGTAACTTAAAAAATGAAATACTTAATGCCTTAATGAGAGGTATTATTATGTGAACATGTTTGAATTTGGCTTATAAAAAATAGGGCTTGAAAATATAAAATGTGTGCATAAAATGCAAATGGATTTAATTAACTGAAAACCCACAAGACAGAACTTCTTCAAATAAGCAATTACTTTGGGGACTAATCGTGTAAATAGGATTCTGATTCATTAGCACAAATACCCAAAAGAGAGAGGGATCAGCAATTTTATTCTTTAAGTTATGTATGCACACATGGTAATATCTCATTAATTTGGTGCTTCAGTAAATTTTAAACCTTTTGATAATTTGTTCATGGGCTGAGTTGGTGTTTACCTTTGCTTCAAAATACTTTATTTATAGGTAAATAATGTACAGTGTTTTAAACATTCATTTTCAACCTCATATGCACTTTTTAGATGTAGAATAAACAATTTCTGAGGAACCTCAGGCATTTTACAAGCTCTTACATACATCCAATCTATATGCTAATAATAAAATGTTCACATGATTTATTATAATAGGTCGCCTTAAGGGTTTCTACTTTGTAATGTTTTGTTGGAGTTACTCTATTGTAGTTCAAGGTAATAAAAGCCACATTTGCTTAAAAGTTATCTATAACTCAGCCTTCCCACACATTCATATATATTTACTCCCTAATTCATTGAAATAAATGAAAATTTACAGTATTCATAGTTATACATAAGAATTTTTCTTTTAAATATCCCTTAGAACCTATAAACATATGAAGAAAAATAAAATAAGTAGCTAAAATAACAAGTGACTTTGTCTACTATGAGTAGACAAAAGAGAGTAAACTATCCATTTCAAATCATTTTAAGCCCTTTATGTACCATATCCTGGGGAAAATCCTCAATAATATGGTCTTTCAAAAAATGATTGTGTTCACTTGGGATGACTCTGGTCCTAATCACTTGAAGCCTAATAATAAGTTTTCCCAATAGCAGCGAGTCAGTGCAGAGGCCATAATGGATGGATGTACTAAGCTTGAGCACATAAAATGAAAAAATAAATTCCTCTACACCACAATCTGGCCATTTCCAAATCTTCCTTGTATGTGACCATGACTTTTCAGAGTTCACATGTCAAAACACTACTTACTGGCTAGGCATTGGTGGTTCATGCCTATAATTCTAGCAACTCAAGATGCTGAGGTTTGAGGATCACAGTTTGAAGCCAGCCTGGGCAGGAAAGTTATGAGACTCTTATCTCCAATAAACTACAAAGAAAGAGAAAAAAGCCAGGAGGGGAGCTGTGGCAGAAGTGGTATAGGGACAGACTAGGCCTTGAGTTCAAGACCCAGTACCAACAACAAACAAACAAACAAACACCCTACTGAGAACATTAGATGAGTATAAAAATGCTTAGGAGGGCTCTGTACTGTATTTTCACAATAAAAAATTTCTATGCAGGTCAGAATGATTCAAATTCTTTACCAGACAAAACACATACAACTAGAATTTGTAAACCTCCAAACTGAATTTAACTTCATAAAACACCCTAAAAAGAAATCTACATACTATCCATCAGGCATGGCATCTTTGCACAAGAACTACTTCTACTTTTTTTTTTGTTAAATAGCGTAAGAAAAATTATCCAAAGAGAAAAGACAATTGTACTCAAATCAGTAGTTACTTACCATACAAAAGGGCATAACAACCTTCAATTCCATTTTTATAGCTTAATCAGGAATGCTTGATGAAGAACCCTCTTTCATTTGCCTCTTGATTGTTGTATAACCTGAAGGAGATAGAAACATGGCTTATTTCACCATCAACAAGAAAACGATTCCATGTAAGATTGTTATGTTAGCAATTAATTCTCTTCAGAACAGAAACTATCCCGGCTAGTTAGATAAATCTCCCACTTTGATATTCTGTCAAGAATCAAATCCCACTCACACTGTCTGAGTGAACTTCAGGTCTGTAACTTCACTGTTTCCAACCCTCACCATTCAACTGGAAGTAATAAAATTTCTCTATTTAATGTTCTCATTATCAAATGAGATGGTGTGTGCAAACTATTCACCTAACAGTAAAGGCACTGTTGAATTAAAATGAATTTGGTCTACAGTAGCCTCTGTATTTTAACATACGTTTGGCTCAAAGCAACTTTTATAGGTAGTGAACTGAATCCTAGGTTGATCTGTAAATAGACTAATCTAAGAGCAAACCCTTGTAATGAAGTAACCAAGTCTTGCCTAATCACAGTAGTTAAGCCTCCAGCCAACCAGAAACTGAAAACTGCCAAAATATGACCATATAAGGCAAATGTCAATTTTAGCCAATCAGATTATTTCTGTATGTCAATTCCTTATTTTCTGGTTATAAATATAACCCATTCATATAGAGCATGCTGATCCATCTTTGGTCTGGGATGTTGCCTGGTTTTTGAACCTTTTTGTTTGATTAAGGAAGCTTAAAATTCAATAAAGCTATAATTAACATTTGAGTATTTTCACACTTTCAGTAAAATGAAAATATAATTTGTAAAAATAATTTCAACTTTTATGGGAAAATATATCACTTCTTCCAACAAAACCAAGTGTTTTATCTTCCTGATCTGAAATTCATGGAGAAAATTTTAATGTGCAAAATAACTCAGGAACTTGGAGGCAAAATGGACCATGTTATGAATGGCGGTGGGGGGGGTTGATTAGAATGATGACAAAGAGCCCAAACTAGTAATTTTTCTCAGAGTTAGTTATTATTTACATAAATGTGTATTATTTCTAGAGACAGACTTGAAGGCTGAGTTAGGAAAATCCAAATACAATCCCAGTAACACCCACTTAGCAAATCATCTGGTTCTCTTTCCTTTCTGTGACTCCCTAACAAACACATAGTAGCTCTGCTAAATCATTTCCTGCATACTGAGAAGGAGTTTCTGAAGAAAGTTGGTGACTGCCAGAAACCCAGTCAGTGGTTGCTCATTAGTAAATAGGGGGTAGGAGCTGTGAAGATAAAACGTGGACCCAAGTGAGGGATAGTACAGACAACGATTCATTCTAAATGGGAAAGGAAAGGAAGAAAGGGGAAACGATAACGCCAGATGATTCTGGCAACGAATGTTCCAGCACAAGGACTTTTCTGTGAAATTCATGCTTTTCTTCGGCTCCCATGAAATTTCATGTCCCAGCAAATTTCCCACCCCCGGTTTCCCATCTCCCAGAAAACTCCTGAAAAACTTCTCCTTGTCTCTTGCCTTAAATGTGGGTTTTATATAATGTTATCCACTTGGCTGTAACTTCCATTCTAGTCAAGGCATCTTACACATCTTCTGGATGTTTCTCTGGACTAGAAACCTCACCCTTATCCCTGATTTTCTTTCCATATCAGGCTCCTTGATTCAAAGGTTTGATGTTTTCATTTTTCTTTTCCTTCACAAGGCAAAAACAAACAAACAAAAAACAAACCCAACTGATAATGGTTACTTTGCACACAGAAAGAGCTATTTCCATTTATCCATCCACGGCCCTTGTCAGAAGCTCATCTACCATCTCCCATTCCAGCAAATGTCTCCATATAATGTACTCCTTGTTTCCGGTCTCCATCATTTCCCAGTCATCTGGATGATTTCAGTTTTCCTCCTTTTGCTTCCTTTCTCCTTTTGTCTAAACATTCTAACAGCTCTCCATTTAAGACAGCTGTCTTAAATGCTCATCTTTTAACCTCTAGTTTAAAGAACAATTCCTTCTGGGATCTTCTCCAGTCCTTGAGGAAGAATCATTACAACTTCCTTACAAACCAAGTATCTTTTTCTGCTGTGAAAATTATACTCATGCTACTGTGGTCTAATTTTGGTCAGTTCTGCATCCAGCAGTGTCCTTGCTCTTAGAACATTTATAATCTAACAATGATTCACATTTCTAATTTCCATGCCCATATTCAATGCTTAGGCATTGTAGGTGCTCTGTTAAGTGATAGATGACTAGATGACTTTCAGAAGTCAAATAGTACCATGAAAGGCCTAATAGAGGATTAAGGACACTATTTTAGAAAGTCACTGGCAACAGTAGTAAGACTGCCCAAATTTTGAAGGCAAGAGAACTGAAATGAGAGAGGTTAAAAAACAAACAAAATAAGTACAGGAGAATGTGGTATTTTTCTCACTCTTTTTTAAAGTACAGACTTGTTTTGCCATTTTATAAAAATCAAGTTAGATCTTTATATCTGAGGAAAAATGATGCATTTGCTCCAATTAACCAATCGTAAAACAAATTTGAGATCCACCAAATACATAAAATCTGTGGCATCAGTAGCTCTGTCTTATGATAGATCTTCCATGAGGAAGAGAAAATATCTTCCTGGGCTGGGGAGGTGGCTCAGTGGTAGAGCACTTGCCTTGCATGCATGAGGCCCTGGGTTCGATTCCCCAGCACCACATAAGCAAAAAGAAAAAAAGCCGGAAGTGGCGCTGTGGCTCAAGTGGTAGAGCGCTAGCCTTGAGCTGAAGAGCTGAGGGACAGTGCCCAGGCCCAGAGTTCAGGCCCCACGAGCGGACCCCCCCCCAATAAAAGTGTGCATCAGCACACCGGGCTATTGAGAAAATATCTTCCTGGAGTTTATGCTAATGGCTGGCACATATAAAATAGCATTTTATTTGTTGAATGAACAAATGCTCACTCAGCCACTTAGATTCCCACTGCTGCCCAGTGTCTCACTTCCCTTTTATAACCAAAGTCCTGAAGGTAATTTCCCGAGCTCTCATCTTTCCCTTCTTACCTCCCACTCCCAGCTCACACTGCCTCAGTCTAGCGTCTGTACTATCACCTTGTTCAGTATAGTGACTTCCACTCCACTTCTTCTCTGAGAGCATCCAGGCATCTGTGTGGCATCAAGAGCAGGGAGGGAAATGGAGGCTGTAGCTCATTCCAAAGAAGTCACTGGGTATGTGCTCTGGGACATCCCAACTCCTGAGCTCCTTCTCTTCTATGGCAATGCCAACCAGTGGGAGAGGTAAGTCAATAGTGCTTCAGGAGCAGAGCTCGATTTATTTACCCTGGCCACAAAAATGCCTCTGATAGGAGAAACAGGTGGGGCTTGACTCACAGAATTCCCTGGCATACAGGCTTAAATTTTCTCTCTGATTCAGATCCCAGACCTTCAGATTATATTCGTTCAGACTCCACCCTTGTTCTACTCCATTTTTGTGGTCATCAACACATCAGCATGTCTTTCCAATATGCCTGCTCTCATGTGTTTTCTTAAAAGCATATATAACATAGGAACCTCTACAATACTCTCAAACAGGCAGAACCATAGACACATTTTTGGTGCAGGATGCTTGGCAATTTATTTTAATTAAAAATGATCTCTTGATCAGCAGTCACCATCTTTACTTAAAAAAAAGAAACAAAAGCAACAAACAATCAACCAAACAAACCAAAACAATCCCTAGCCAAGTTTCTCAGCTGGTACAAACCACTCTTTTTGTTGTTATGGTTGGATCATTTTTTGAGATGGCCTCATGCTGTGTAGCTCAGACTGGTGTGGAACTCAAAAATCCTTCTGCCTGCTGCCGTCTAGTGCTGAGATTCCACTATGCACTACCATGTCCAGCAGAATCCAGTGTTTCTAATTTCTTCCTTGAGCATGCATAACCATACCTACCTTCCTTCAATCCTTACTCTCTTGCTCCATCATGACCCAGGAGTCTCCTGTTCTCCTTCTTCTCCATTCCTTCTTTCCTCCTCAATGGAGTGACCCTTTACTGCTGGACTGTTACAGGTTTGATTTCCTGAAACATTTGGTTTTACTGTTCTTTTTTTTTTTAAACCACCTACTTCCTATAAGCAATCAATCCGTATCCAGACTGATGAATGGCAAAAGGAGCCACAGGTTCATGTCCAAACCCCAGTACTCTTTGACAATCTCTGCAGCCATAATCCCTAGGAGGGCCAGGGATATCTCAAGCTTAAACTCAGTATGTCTAAACCGGAGCTTAGCATCAGTCTGTGTAAGCATGCTGTGCCTCTCATGTTCTCTTGATGATTTCCATCTTAATACTTTAGAAGACAGTCTGTCACTTTTATTTCCTACATATCTTTTGAATCTGTTCACATTTCCCAAATCACAGACTCCACATCCTTCCTCTTTTGGATCTACTGCTTACTCTACTGAAAATATTCATCTGGTCTACATGAATTTTGACCCTTACCAGTTTCAAGTTAGAAATAGTTTTTCAAAATATAAAATGAATATAACTCACTAAAGTTTTCCTATTAAACAAAACCAGAAGCAAAAATATAAGCAAAATCCCAATTTCCTCACTGGCTCTAAGATTTAAAAAAAATCATGTTCCTTGATGTAGATTAAAAATGGCTTTAATGCTGGGTGTGTAGTGGATCAAGCCTATAATTCTAGCTTCTTAGGAGGCAGAGATCAGAGGATCACTGTTAAAGGCCAGTCCAGGAAGAAAAGTTCATGGGACTCCATCTCAACTAATGCCTGGGCCTGGTGGCACAAACCAGATACAGAGGAAGCCCCATGTCTAGGCATAGTGACACATATCTGCTATCCTCAGCCACACAGGAAATGAAAGAAGGAGGATTGCAATCCAGACTGGTAGCATAAAACAAGACTCTACCTTCACAATAAGCACACCTTTTTTTCTGGCCTGTAATCTAGTAGAGAAAACAGATGACAGAAAGTAAAAGGACACACTGTGAAATAAAAACAATTCGAAGAGCCACACAAGACGGAATAAGAGTCCATAACATGAAATCCGAATGAAACAAG